AATCCATCCATGCCCCTTGTGCAACAGTTGCCACACTTTGCCTCTTTTTCCGACCGATCCGTGTGGCCTACAATGAGCCATAACACGCGATATGAATTTGAACCATGTGGTGGGATGGCCTCCATCCCTATTGATGTGCGCACGGACATTTGGTGGTGCCTGGTAGGGTGAACCGTGTTGGCGTTGCCCTTAATCTATGCACCCTCCATTCCGTTCTACGAGGTGGGCTAATTTTCAAATGTTAGATGTTTCTATCTTTGACCAAGCTTTAGTATCTGTTATGGTTACCTAAAAGCTTGACATTTCGAAGATATATTCGTAATGCCACACCATGTACTATATATAAAATCTGCCATCTAATTATGAAATTTAGAAATAACGCATCTTATTCTAGATACAACTCTTAGCACAAACAGAGAGAAATAAGATAACTCGCACTTGTACTCTCACAAAATACATTAAATGCGAGTCTTTTCAAATACAACAATAAGGTATAAACACATGTATTTAGTGATATAGTGCCTTGAGAGTACTTTTACATTAATTCCATCCGATAGGCCTACTGGATATTTTACATGAGACAAAAGTGTTGAGCTACTTGAGGTTTTAGAATCCGTTAGAGGTTCACACAATTCAACGGATCATCCACAAACCACACAATTTGATTATTTTTGCCAACATCAAGAATGATACCAGGCAATTAAGAGTGCAAAGCACTGAAGGAATGTCATTCTCAGGGAGGTAGTGACAATTGCGCTTGCACTTTCTTTTTAAACATATGTGTATATCCTTCTTACTTAATAGATGAGATAATTTTTTTGCCTTAATTCAAAATTTTGTTACCTAAGTGAAAATTTGATGTGACATATGACTAAGTAATACATATATAATATGAATGGCTATATGGTTTTGGCTATTAATTTAGTTATATTTTCCCTTGTTTCTATTTCTCTTTTCCCTTATTTACTTTTTTTTTTCTTGGATTAGGGGTAGATGTTAGCTCTTGCATGAGATTCCATTCCTTTCATTTTTTTTCCTTGTACGTATCTCTCTTCCACATATGCACATAGGTACGATTGCCATGTAAACTGACTTACAACTCCTATTATACTTGCTCCAATGGATATTTGTATGCGATATTGAACTATTCAAGGTTTACACAGTTATCTAGATTAGTAGAATTCAATTGAAAGTACATGTCGGTTAAATAAAAGTATTTGCATGACTGATATTCCCCAAAGGAGATATCATCTATATCTTCTACATACACAGCGACACGTCGTCAGCACTCGCCACTGCTTTCTCATTTTCTCACCTCGATTCCACTCACATGGCTATATCCAACATTACAAATCTTTCTTGGAGGACTCATGCATTACTCCCACAAAACACATTAAATGAGAGTTCTCAAAGATACAACACTGAAGATATGTCTACACTCATATTTAATGCAAAGATTATAATGCATATACAATTCCAACACATAGACACTGGAGTATCTTAAATTGTATCACATGCATTAAACATATGTTCAGATATAAGTATAACTTGTCTAAATGATTTGTATATTTTACCAAAAATATGATTTGTATCTTACCGTCAAGTATTTAAAAGATCTCTCATTTAATATACATGCTTGCCATAGAAAATATAAAGTTGCAATAGAAAATATTCGCTTCCATACTATTTCCAGTGAACGTTGACTAGATAACATTTCACTAAAATTAAATGCTGGGTTCACACAATTCAATCTATCTATATGAGTATGTCTGCATGGTAGCTCTTGGGTCAAAGTGATTTTTGGAGTATGCAACGAATGAATCAATGAAAGGTTACGCTCGCCGATGCCTTTCTTCCCTCCCGGCTCGGCCACCGCTCCCACTCCCAACCACCTATATATACCCACGACGGCCACGTCTCTCCCAAACAAGCCAGCACGCCCCTCGTCTCCTCCTCTTCCACCAGAGTCCCACGGCTCGCCGGGAGGGACGCCGGAGATGCTGCTGCACAGGCACAAGTTCCCGCTCCTCTGCTGCGGCTGCGGTGGCGATGGCGTCGCTACCGGCGTCGGCCCGCGAGGCGCGGCCATCAACGACACCAACGTCCAGCAGTCTGGCGGCAAGGGCGGAGCCAGGCAGCTGTCCTGGGCGCAGGTGGAGGCCATGACGTCGGGCTTCACGTCGGCCGTCGTCGGCGAGGGCGGCTTCAGCACCGTCTACCTCGCGCGCCTCGCCGGCTCCGGCTCCTCCCAGCTCGCCGCCGTCAAGGTGCACCGCAGCAGCGAGCGCCTGCGCCGCGCCTTCCGCCAGGAGCTGGACGCGCTGCTCCGCGTCCGCCACCCGCACATCGTCCGCCTCCTCGCCTTCTGCGACCAGCGCGACGAGGGCGTGCTCGTCCTCGAGTTCGCGCCCAACGGCAGCCTGCACGACCACCTCCACGGCCGCGACGGCGACGGCAGCACCAAGGCCGCACCCGCGGCCACGATGCCGTGGGCGCGGCGTGCGGCCGTGGCGCTGCAGGTGGCCCGCGCGCTCGAGTACCTCCACGACCGGTGCGAGCCGCAGGTGGTGCACGGCGACGTCAAGGCCTCCAACGTGCTGCTCGACGCCGCCATGGGCGCCCGGCTCTGCGACTTCGGGTCCGCGCGCGCCGGGTTCTCGGCGTCGGCGGCCGTGGCCGCCCGCCCGCCGCGCGCCGTGCTCGGGTCGCCCGGCTACGTGGACCCGCACTACCTCCGCTCCGGCGTGCTCACCAAGAAGAGCGACGTGTACAGCCTCGGCGTGCTGCTGCTCGAGCTGCTCACCGGCACGCAGCCCTTCAGCGACGGCCGGCTGCTGACTTCCGCCGTCGCGCCGATGATCAAGGCCGGCTCGTGCTCGTGCGACGACGTGCGTAGGCTCGTCGACCAGAGGCTAGGGTCCCGGTACGACGCGGCCGAGGCGGCGACCGTGGCAACGCTGGCGGCGGCGTGCGTGGGTGACAACCCGGCGCTCCGGCCGTCCATGGCCGACGTGGTCCGGACCCTGGAGCAGATCTCGGCCGCCGGGAGACGATCCGACGGCGTAACCAAGCCGTGAGCGGCGCGTGCGGGGTGATGAGGAGATAGAGACGATCGATGCCTCGACCCGATCGACGTGGCGAGCATCGTGACCGTAGGATGCTGTGTCATGGAGCGAATCCTCCTCCCACCCGCAAAGCAAAGCAATTGGGTTTGGTGAGGAGAAGAAAGCAAATAAAAATGGTTGGTTTCGACAGAGACTTGCCCTGAGAAAACTGAAATTATTAGGCTCTCATAGTAGGATTATAAATAAATTTTTGTGCAGCTTCATTGCTTTCTTTCTTTCTGTTCTCTTTTTTAATTAATCTCTGAGGTGATGATGAGATCTTGTACCTTTTAATCGAAACAATGAGATCTTGTACCTAATGTAGCCAGCGTAGTGGTCAGTGGGATCATTTTTAATAAAACATTCGGTCCATGCAAAGTACTCCCTCCGTTCTCAAATATTTGTCTTTCTAGGCATTTTAAATGGACATAACATACAGATGCATGTAGACATATTTTAGAGTGTAGATTCACTCATTTTGCTCCGTATGTAGTCACTTGTTGAAATCTCTAGAAAGACAAATATTTAGAAACAGAGGGAGTAAAATACACATAAACTTTTGTTTTCTTGAATCATACACCTAACCGAAAATGGTTGGACGCTGGCGTTTCCTTGATGAAAATGGGCAGAAATCTTGTCGTTTTTAATGACGAAATCCAAGGCAGGAAGCTTAATTTGTTCTGACGAACATGCCTTGATCTCTCCACTTGTAGGCAGAGAGAAACTCCATCCCTTAGAGCATCTATAACCAGACTTTGCAAATTCATCCTCTCAAACTCCCGCCGGGTGCGTTCGAACACATTAATCAGTCACTTCTCAAATATCTCTCCGCATTCGAACACCTCATATATAAAATCTTTAAACCATGCATATAAAACATCTACGTAGCACGTGCATCAACTAAATCATTGACAAACGCTACTTGTTGTCGGAAATGTCCACTACTACGTTCCGGGCTCCGGGTACATGGGGCAGACGCAACTTCGGCTCCTCCTATGCGTCCGCCTGGGCCGCCGCCTCCATCTCCACGTCCAACTCGTTGAAGAGTGTGTCGGTCTCTGCCTGTTCTTACTGGAGGAAGCACCGGTTGGACTCCACATACATCTCATCCTGAATGGACTTTAGGATGATTGTTTGCTCCACCATCTCTGCCGCTTGGATGGTGGCGAACTCTGCCATGGCTCCCTCCATTATGAAGCCCGCAACCGGCGTCGGCTCCTCCTCTGGCTCCGCCATGTGCACCTCCTCCGGATACGCCCCCTCCATGGGCTCCAACTACTGCTCCTCCTCCGGCTCCGACTAGTCCGAAGACTGGCCTGTTGCAATCTGGATGGCGCACCTAGCCCGGATCTTCTCCTCAATCTGGAAGCGGCACTCCAACATTAGCATAGCGTAGGTGGTCTTCTTCTATGGGCCATGGCGGATGACGAGGGAAAAGGTAGATGAAGACGGAGAGGAATATGCTCGGGCTGGCGGCGGGAGGAGTGAGGAAATGGTTGTGGCTCGGGCTGGGGACGCCGGCCGGCTTAAATAGCCAGACTTTGGCCTCGGGCTGCGATTCGGAGCGGCGTCACGTGGCGTTCACACAGCCACTAGAGAAGACGTTCGTCAGACTGTTGGTTTTCCGGGCGGTTTCATGTAGGACCCGACTGTCAGTCCGAAGTGGCAGACGTGCCCATTCCGTCCCATATTTCGGCTGGATATATACGAGGGGTATAGTTAGCCTGTGCGTTTGAAATCTATTTGAGGTGTCAGTTTGGATCCATTTTTTCTACCGGTCACTACTGGTCCGTTGGTTCGGGCGTTTATGCCTGGCTGTAGATGCTCTTATGTCTCTACATCCACATGTACGTGTCGCATATATACGTGTGCGGCTGGAGATTCATACATGTCGCCTCCGACGCCGACCGGAGCAGAGGCCACCAATATATACGTACATACGTAGCTCTCGGCGCCAGTACGGTGCTGGGTTGCCATTGCACGGGCGCCGGTGCGGCGTCCCGGTCGTGATGGCACACCCAAACAACCACCGCGCACGAATGCCCGGCCTCCCGTCTCCACCCATACATGCACCGGCGAGGTGAGGCGAGGCGGCCACTCCATACATACCCTGCCACTGCATGCATGCGTAGCATATAATGGTGACCGCGTCGAGACCGTCGTGACCCAGCTAGCTAGCCATGGATCGCTATCCATCCAATCCAATGGTGAGTTTTGTCCGCGCACGAGCTGTATCCGGCGTCGGGAGGGATACGTTGATGATGTCTCCGAGCTACCTACCTGTATCCTGGTGCCCGGTGCATCCTGAATCATGCATGTACTGTACGTACGTTTTTTTTTGTGTGTGTCATATGAGCAGGGGGTCCGCGCGGGTGTAGACGAGGACCGCATTAGTCGTGGCTGCTGCTAGATACGCCCCAACCACCGCCCTGCGGCGCCTGTGGGGAGGAAGGAAGGAGACGATCCAATAAACTGCCTTATCTAGCTCTGGTTCAAGGAATAATAAAATGAGCGGTCGTAATGGTCAGGAGCACGCTACTTTGTCTTTGTGTATGTATATGATGGAGTTGTATCCCACTTATTATACACCTCTCTATGTAGGAGCCTAATGTAGCCAGCGTAGTGGCCGGTGGGATCATTTTTTAAATAAAACATTCGGTCCATGCAAAGTAAAATACACTTCTCATGCAAAACCTAACCGAAAATGGTTGGACGCTGGCGGTTTCTTTGATGAAAAATGACAGAAAGCTCGTTGTTTTTAATGGCGAAAATCAATGGCAGGAAGCTTGATTTGTTCTGACGAACATGCCGTGATCTCCCCACTTGTGGGCAGACAGACAGCAAGGACAAAAGAGAGAAAAACTCCATCATGCACATCGCTAGCTCTTACGTCCCTACATCCACATATGGTACGTACATACTAGCACAATACTTGAATACATACGTGTGCAGCTGGCGGTTCACGTACATCCGTACATGGCGCCTCCGACGGCGACGGCATACGTAGCTCTCGGCGCCGGTACGGGCCGGGGCCGGGGTTGCACGGGCACCGGTGGGGCGTCCCGGTCGTGATGGCACCGCGAATCCCCGGCCTCCCGCCTCCATCCACCGGCGAGCGCGAGGCGGCGACCCCATACATACCCTGCCCCTGCATGCGTAGCATAGCATGCTTTTGTTTGTACGCACCGCGCGAGACCGTCGTTGCTATCCACTGATTTGTCCGCGCACGCGCCGTATCCGGCCCCGTCGCGACGCGCGTACGTCGATGATGCCTCCCTCCCAGCTACCTACCTGTGCTCCGGTTGCCGGTGCATCGTGTACATTCGTTCGTTGGTGTCATCTGAGCAGCAGAGGGTGAGGGTGCCGCCGGTGGTGTCATCTGGAGAAAAAAAAAAGAAGAAACTCGGCGGTGCCGGCATAGATACGCCTCCTGTGGTTGTGGGTGTGGGGAGGAAGGAAGGAGACGATCCAATAAACCGGCTTATATATCTAGCTCCCATGGAAGGAATAAGATGGAGCGGTTGTAATGCTCAGGGGCACGCCACTTTGTGTTTGTGCATGTATGTATCCTACTTCATTCGGCTTTGTCTTTCATTCGGCTTTTCTTTCTTAGGGATGATTCCGTTGCTTTAGTTAGTGCATTTGTCCGAGCGAACAAGTGACTCTTTTACTTAAAACAAGGCAAAAAATTTGTTATTTTCATTGATTGAGAAAAAAGAGTTTTTAAGGCACGCACCGCCACGGCGGCATAGAGCTAACGAATTACTCTCGCAGCATTATATTAGTCAAGTGCTTGGCACCCGCAAAAGACCAAAGTGACGCTTTCTCCTTTATTGTGCGAACTACCACCGACACTTGCGCTTCTTTATTTCTAAAGAGACACGCATTTCTTTCTTTCAAAAATCTCCCATCTAACAAGATGGATCAGGGAAGAGAGAGCCTTCTTTTGCCCGCGGGAGACCGTCGAGACCCAGCTAGCTAGCCATGCATGGATCGCTATCCATCCGTTGGTTTGTCCGCGCACGCGTCGTATGCGGCCCCGTCGGTGCAGCCTGAATCATGTGCCGTACGAATACGTTGGTGTCATATGAGCTTGGGTTGCGGGTGTAGACGAGGACCGCATTAGTCGTGGCGACTAGAAAAAAGAAGAAAACTCAGTGGCGCTGGCCGCTGCTAGATACGCACGCCTCTACCACCGCCCTCTGCTGGCTGGCTGTGGGGAGGAACGAGACGGTCCAAAAGCATCTATAATCGCAACCTGCAAATCCGGCACCTCGAACGCACGCAAACGGATTCGTCCACACGCACTGGCTAGTCACGTCTTAAATGTTTCTCTCCACATCCACATCCCCATACCTTATATCCGGTATCCTATATATACATACTAAGCATGCAACATAAGAGCAACTCTAAGTGATCAAACAACGCACAATGAAATCGACATAAAACAAACAAGCAAATGCACATAAACAAACTGTATATCATCCAAAAGATCATCGGAGTTCATCGCCAAACAAGTTCTTAACTTGAACAACTAAAAATGATAAAAACAGAGGAGGAGGAGGAGCGTCTTCACCACTTCCTCGCCGGGTCCTTCCCCTTCCGGTCTCCGGCGTAGCGGGACGCGTCCGCGATTGGTGAGGATCTTTGTCATCGGAGGAGGAGGTGAAGCTGTGGTCGTCGCCGTCGCCGACGTCAGAATCGGAGTCACAGAGGACGATAGACCCCTTCATCCGGCGGACGGCCATGTCCTGCTGCCACTTTAACTTCGCGAGCCTAGACGCCTCCGCATGGTGCTTCGATTACTCTATGGCAAGTCGGAGTGTCTTTCCGTTCTTCTGCGTAGACGCGATCTTTGAGGTGATGATGCGATCTTGTACCTTTTTAATCGAAAAATGAGATCTTGAAAGTAATGTATAGCTAGCGTAGCGGCCAGTGGGATCATTTTTTTAATAGAAGAACATTCGGTCCAT